GTATTAAAAAAGGTATTTACCAAGAAAAAAACATTTATGTGTAAATCATAGGATCTCACGTTAATAAAGTTATTGGAGTCATAAGATTGAAAATCAAGTTTTATGAAGAAATCCAGCTGATTCCTGTTTATTCAGACATACCATTTTGAACACCATATATTTTTCTTACAGGAGGAACCCCAAACCGCCACGACCCCCTCCTGTTTACAGAGCTTTATCAAACAACAAACACGGTTTCATTTTTTCTGAAAGAATATCTGATTCTGCACACGATTACATGTTGCATAAAGTCCCAGCTTCTGATTGTTCAAAAGTTTGCAGCATGTCTCTCAGCTGCTGTTTATGAAGTGACTCAGTCAGGAAGTGGTCTTCACGTCGCGTCCAGCCCATCGTGTGCTCACAGAACTTACAGAAAAGTTCTTCTCCAGATAAATGAAGAACCGCTGGAATATTGTTCTGTCCAAAACGTTACCATAACACCGCTTCATATTTTTGGAGGACGCTTTTGTTTTAGTGAGCCGCGCTGTGTCGGGAGGGGAGCTCAGAGCTCACCCTGTTAGCAGGTAACAGCAGGTACAGGAAGCAACAGCGGCCAAAATACCTCAGAAACTCGTCCAAATAAGCTAACTCGGTGAGATTGTTTTGTTGTGTGTGAATAAAACAAATAAACAGCCAGGGGATGAACAAAAGTTTTCCTTTACAGTTTTTTATACAGTTAATATGTCAAAATTTATGCATTTTTGTCCTTGTTTTTTTAAACGCAGTATAAGCCCTCACTACTAAGACTTGTGACTTTCTCTAAAACCCCCACAATGCATTGACTTCCATTGTATCTGAGATCTGAGTTTTCTATTCAAAACCTGAAGTGTAGGGTCTTATTTTGTTGTGTTTCCCACACAAAACAAACAGTACAAACATAAAATGAAAACATTTATCGAGCCTTTTGGTACTCATTTTAATGTCCACTATTTGAGGCTTACTGTGTTTCTTCCTGCCTAAAGTGCTACATTGTGCTGTCCAAAAAAAAAATGAAATAAAAAAATGGGTGAGAGTCATCATGGCACCCAGTGACTCAGCAGATTCTGCTACTGGTTTCTAGATTACCCTGCAGCCTTTTTTTCTGATATTTTCCCATCACAACTGCCCTAGAAAATCCAGTATTTAAAGTACCACTTCATGTTGGAAACCAAAAACCAAAAGAGCAAATAGAAGAGACTTTAACCTCTCGGATTCTCTTTAAAATGAAAGTCTGACTCTGTGACGGCTTGGAGTACTACAAAGTTGATCCCAAATTACTTTCCCCCTATTCTAAGAATAAAGTTGGTGGATGTTTAAATTTTTCTCGAGAGCTGCATTTTCCTGGAAATTTTCTAGATTTTCCTTTTGGTTTTCTGTGTCCTCAGAGACAGGTGGCGCTGCTGAGGCAGCTGCAGGTCCAGCTGAAGAAGCAGCGTGCAGAGAATATGCTCCTGGAGGCTCAGATCCGAGAGGAAGTCAGTCGAGAGTTCTCAGAACTTTTCTCTGAGATGCAGAATAATTACAGGTGAGACATTTTCATTAGTTTTGTTGACTTTAAGTCAGATGTAGTTGTATGTTCATTCTGTGCCACGTTCTTCTTGGTTTCTGTTTCACAGTTTTAAAAACTGTACTTCAAATAAAATAATTACCAGAGGTTATTAGATGAAGCTTTCTCATCTTTTAAGCCTGGTCGTGTTTGTGTTTGCCAGTGAGCGTCTGGTCAGGGAAAGAGACATTTTGGAGGAGCGAGCAGAAAGGAGGCTGGAGATTTTCAAGAATTTGATTAACAACATGTCCGTCGCTGAATCCAAACACGATGTAGAAACCATGGTAACACACTTTATTCTTCTGTTCACGTTCATTTGCTCTGCACGGTGATTTGACTTGTACTTCTGAGAATAAGATGAGGATGTGTGTTTTTTTCTCTGTCAGAACAAATGTCTGATCTCCCATGCCCCTGAACTGGTGGACTTGCAGGATTTGACTGATCCAGCCGGTGTGTGTTCAGTCTCAGTCCAAACTGCACAGTACAGTGTAGAGAACCCAGAGACAAAGGTTCTGGACCTGACGGCTCAACAACAACAGCAACACACCCAGACTGGTAAAACCACACAAAGACTCCAGGAGGAAAATAACCTCTTTTAGAGACAGGAACTTAACTTCAAAAACAAATTAAACCCATTTTCGCTACTATTGCCTTAATATAAGTTAAATGCCTATAATTTTACCCAATTTCCCTCTGGGATCGATAAAGTATATTTGAATTTGAATTGAATATAAGAAACACATTTTTTAGTTGTTGCACCGGTTTTATTTTTCTCATCCTCTTCTGTTTTATTTTGTTGCTGAAGCTGGTTCTGTAGAGGATGAGGAGAAAAACAGGATTCTACTGCAGCTCCAGGAGAAGCCATCAGACGTGGCCCGGCTGGAGAAGCAGCTGGGAGACCTGCAGGAGACGATGGAGCTGGACTCACAGAACTGTTTGATGCCAGTTAAAGCGGAGAGTGGAGATCAGCTGAAGGTAGGGATAGCTGCAACTACTACCTGAGCAATCACATACAGTGGTTTGCAAAAGTATTCATACCCCTTGAACTTTTCCATATTTTGTCACATTACAACCACAAACATAAATATATTTC